TCTCTTCCCGGACTTCGCCACCCAGGTGCTCCCGAGGTGTGGCGGGAGGTGTCCGTGCAAAAGGATCGTTCATCGGCAGGCTCGGCAGCTGGACCGGCCTCGGTGCCCCGGGTGGGGGTGGCATGGCGTGGCCGTCGGATGTGGAACATGTCTTGCCAAGCCGAAAAAAACACAGAGTACGCACGGAGTACGGGGAGCCAGCTAGTGTCCCTCATCCTTACTCGGCTACTCTGATGATGTTTCGTTAAGGTGAACATTCACATGCCTTGCAAGCTTGGATGGTGAAATGCTTCAAGGGTAATTCAGTGGTAGCGAGAATTCGTCAAGTACAGTCCACGGACCGCGTCTCACCATGCACTGCACCACCACCAGTTCACATGAGTTCACCATGCGCAACTGACCTGAAACTAACCTGACTCCAGATCAAGCTGTTGCAGATTGACATCGTCCTATTTTTGAACCATCCATTGGAGTTGATTGGTCCCTTTGCCTCACCCAGTGACCAAGTGGCAGGATCGGGGATGCGTTGGGCCGACACGAGGCCCTCAACGCGTTGGGCCACTCCTGCCGTCCACCCAAGAGGTGACGTGTTGAAGAGGTCTATCTACAAGACTCGTCTCAGGTTGAAGCCCACCCAACAAATTCATGTTGATTCGTGGTCGCTGATTTGGATCACTGGTCGCGCATATTCAGGAGTTTTCTCCCAAGTACTCGTGCCGCTAGTTGATCTCATGTAGTCAAAGAAAGCAACATGTCCACAATGACTTATTAGGCTTGTAGGTGGTTGGCTCTTCATAATGTTCCCGGCGTGCTCATGCTCACTGCCAGTGAACGCTTGAAAAACACTATGTTGAGATATGTTGAGTTGAAGTGAAAATGTGTCGCAAAAAAAGATAATCTCTGTCGCGGATTCGGGCGTCATCGCATCAAATGCAAACAACCAGACTTTAACCTCCAAACCCAAACTCCTGGTGCGACACAGGAGACCTCAGTTCACACGAAGCAAGTGACTGCAGCAGCTCAACTAAAATGCTCTTCCATGGGAACCAAACTCTTAGCCCGGCCCATCTTTGATTTCTCATTGATACTACACCCACACCGCGCACCGAACGTGGAAGTGGCGGAGTGGCAGCATGAAGGAACGTCCTCCCCCCCGTCTTCAGCTTCTATGCCATCAGTGCTTGTGCGTCTGCAACCAAAACACCCTCCCATGTAGCCACTCCCATGTAGCCCATGAAGGGAAGCTGGAGTAGGCTGCGAAGGCCGCAAGCTCCGCTTCGGATCGCCTCAGCAACCGACCACAGCAACCCTGCTTATGTCTGACACAACTCAAAGGTGTTGCTCAGCAGCCGTGCAGGGGTTCCCAATGGTTCCCAACAGGTGACGCAAGATGACGCAAGTATATAGCTTCCCTCCTGAAGAGCTTGCTTCTCCACAAAGAGCTTGTTGGGTTTGTTGGGTTGAATCTTTGAACAATTGGATCTGGAGCCATTTGGGTGTGCTCTTCAAACACCTCTGCGGCCCAAGGCGCTCCGTCCACGGGGATCCACGGGGAAGGGCAGGTTAGGCAGGTGAGGCTTTCGGAGGGCCGCCATGCCTTCATAGAGCTTGGACAACATCTCCCTGGCCTTTTTGATGCGCACTTTGGGATCACCTAGGAGCCGAGTCAGACGAGTCTGGAGGAGTCTTCTCAAGCGTGGATCTTGGTGTCTGATTTGTGGAGTCTCAGTGTATTCCACCAACTGCTCAACAAGCAAAGACTACCTAGGCATACTACTATACCTAGTTTTGGAGGTCATGTCGCGGGTCATTCTGTCAAGTCGGTTTGCAAATTTCATGCTGCCATCTTAGAGTCATCCAAAATAAGCCCACCACCCTCTCTGGCAGGCTCCGGCCATGTTCGCTGTGACTGCTGCGGAAGATGACCAACATGCCTGAGCCGGATCCCAACGAGTCTGCCAAACGGTACAGAGCGAGCTGCTAAGTCGTTTTTGCCGTTCTGCCGTCTGCGAAACAGAAAAAAGCAGAGAGCTAGACTTGGGACCTAATCTGTCCGTCCACATCTCAAAAAGAGAGTTGTCTGTAATTGCATGACTCCTCCTGGAATCAACTTTCTCCATTGAACTAAGCCTATCTTGAAGAAACCAATGCATTCAACTACTTGAGATTTTACTACAGTCTGAGTCTGAGTGGCACCTTGTGAGAAACCAGGTACAGTAGAATGGCCCTCTGAACATCCGTATCACCCTCATTGCTGGGCTCCATGGGCTGTCCACGTTGGCTGTTTCACTGGCAGGTTGCTTCACCGTCGGATCAGCTTGAAGATCCTGCGCTGAGTCAGGCACATGGATTTGTTGATGGAGAGAATCGTGAGACACCGTCCAAGTCCATAGATACAAACATCCCATCAGAACATAATCACCTGAAGCAAACTATCCATAACAACATATAACAACTAACAGCATTTGACTGCAACACATAGGCGTTGAGATCGTGACATTGTCAGTGTGAGATGAAGTGGAGATGCCGATGGCTCCAGCTCGCAAGTCTTCATTTCCGAGAGACCCTGAGGCCCGTGGCATGGTCCTCTCTACTGAGGCCCTCATTGGCCATCGTGAAAAGGTCCGCCACAGGGCCCGTGAGGAACCAATCCATGAGGTCACTGTCGGACCTTGGTCGAGCGTTGTTTGCTAGGTTTGGTGGGTCGCCCAGTGCGCGTTTTTTCATCTGTGATTAAGTGATATGTTGGAAACCAAAACTAAGTTGGGGGCGCTTTACTCAGTTAAAACCAGCTCCAAGTGCGCAGAAAAGCGGGAGAAACCGCTTTTCGAACTTGCCTGACAACCCCCTGGTCATCTTAAGGGCTGGGGATCTGACTCCTAAATCTGGAGGTCACATACACTCAACGGCATGTCACGGCCTTCACCAAACAATCTGAGACCTCCCCACTCAGCAGGCATGTCTTCCAGGGCGCGGTAGAGTCCCAGGAGGTCCTTGGCTCCGCCCACTATGTACAACGACGGCCATGTACAGTTATATATGACGACGGCCATTGAGTCAAGCGATATCCAGCGCAGTCGAATTCACACCCAGCAGTGCAGTGTCAAACGGTGTTTGTTGGTGTCTTCCAACAAAAATATCCGTCGCTTCAGCCTTGTTGAAATGTCCCAATGTGAGTGGCTATGTTCATGGGAAATCGTGCCATGTCACTTGATTTCAATGGAACTTTGCCAGTCACATGGATGTGACTGCTGGCCGCTCCTTCAGCGGCCCCGTTCGGCCCCTTCGGTGTGGAGGTTTCGCCCAGGATCCACTCCGGAATCAAGGAAAAGGTTGAGATCCATGAAGGGATCACTCAGTGGCTCTGATCCTGCCGTTCGGAACAGCGAGAGGGAAGAGCGTTCGGTTGAAGTGGAAACAAGGGGGAACACATGAGACAATTATATTGATTCTGACTTGTGAGCATTCAACTGATTCCCAAGGATTCTGCAGGATGCTAAGATGAGCCTGAGATCCATTCCGGTGGCTCCAACGTCTCTTCTGCCTCTCCAGCGTTGCTGAAAAGTTACTGCCTCTGGCACCATTGAAACAGCGTATTCTTAGGTCAACTATCTAGGTAGTCTGTTGGACAATATCTTATATAATATATAGGTCAATCAATCATAGGTCAACAGGAGCTGGGCCTCGTCACTTTGCTCTGGACCAAGGCCGGCTTGATCCCGCAGGAACTGCACTGCCTGCAAGCGGTCATCGCAGCGAAACAAACCTTAGAGGTGATCTATTGCGCCTGTCAGTTCGCAGTTGTACTTCATTAAACATCATAATCATTCGACAAATTGACTGTTGCCTCATTCCAACCCCTTTCTGCCGGGTGCGTTTCCAACATGCTGGTCTCCATTTTGCCGAGGAGGCGGAAACCCCGGAGCTCAGCGCCTCCCGCAGCGTGTTCTTGGCGGCGCGCGAGAAGGACCACTGATCGGCACAGGACACATCGTGGCCTTGATGGGGCCAAAAAGGGGACATGGACCAGAGAGTCCTAGTCGGCTAGTCGGTGCGACAGCATGTTTTTGTACAAAGAGATAGAGAGAGAGAGAGAGACCAACAAAATCCTGCCCACAAGGTGTTTGGTTTCATGTTCACAAAAGTGTCCAAGACCTTGCATGCATTTGTGGGTGTTCATTTGGTGTCGTTTTACTTGAGCGGTGGTCAACCTATAGTGAAGAGAAGGAATGAATTTCCGCTCTTCCACGCCCTCCAGGAAACATGGACACTCACAAAACAGGAAATGGAACTTCGATGAGAAACTTCGATGCCAGGTAGATGGTTGAATCAGACCGTGTTTAACTCTTGCGCCGTCTTTAGAAGAACGAAACATGTCTAAGACTTGAGGAAAATGTCAACACATTCCGTGTAACCACCATGAAAACCGGTAAAAAAAGGCCAAACCAAAATGGAAGCCTACAGTGAGCCAACTTAATGCCAATGATTAAGAATCCTCCCTATTGGCAAGATCTTCTTTCCTACAATACTAACGGCCTGTGAAAACCTTGTGGCCCATGTTTGAAAGTGGGTACCCAATAAAGCCACGATTAGTTATATACATAGACCCTTTCTCCTCAAAAATAAAATATCCCTTTAACAAACAAGGTTCATTAATCATGCTGACATCGTATTATTCAGAGGATTTGCATTCATGAATTATGGCCAAGTCAATTTCCCCTTTCTTCTCCATTCCCAAGACACCTTTTGTTCATGCTGGCTCATGCCTTTGGATCCCTCATGCTGGACCCACAAAAAAACAACAAGTAAGTTGATTCCACACCGTTTGATTCCAACACCTTCAGACCTTCTGGTGGGGTATTTTCTCTCGCTTCGACACTGGAAAATGGCTTCAACCACAATGATCTTCCGTTATTCGGCACATGCGATCATGCATGCCTCGATGATTCTATGCTGTCACACCCCGTGACAACTCAGCTGCCGGCAGAACCGTGCAAGACTCAGGGAAGCCGTATGTGATCCTTAGTCTTAGTGGCGAAGGCTGTCGTATCGAAACTTGAGCAACATCGAAACCTAAGGCCTCCCAAACACAAAAAGGTGCGCTTTTCTCTTGCAAAGTTTGGCAGGAGTGCCTTTCTGCCAACAAAAATGTCCCACAGATTGCGCTGAACCAAGACTCTAGCAAGAGGCAAGTATGCCTCCAGTGCCGGCACGCTGCTCAAGCAATCAAAGGCAGGAGGGCTTCCATAACCTTGCAGAACTGGAAAATTCTGGGTGTGGGAGGAAATCCTGCTCATAAACTATCTCAAAAACCCTGTGTGCTTGAAGAATTTGCGTTGGATGTTGAGTCGCAAATACAAGTGGAGCGAACCTGCCAAACCCTCTGTATCCTCGAACCAAGACTCGCAATTGTGCTTTTATCCGCCTGATTGATCTAGCATTCATTTTTTTCGGTGGAATGAGGTAACGAAGGTCACAAATTTAACGAAGGTCATCGAACAGTCCACGTTCTTCAGGAAACAAGGGGCGCATTGAACAGCCTTGGCACTCAAGGCCACCAGACGAATCTCACGCGACCCACCGCACTTCACCAGTGGTTCGCCCAGTGGCTGTCTCCGGTGAGGGCCGTCAGTGAGTCCCCACAGGCTGCCACCACTTCCAGCCAGCGCTCCCCAAGGGCGAAGGTCACGGCTCGCGCGACCACCGTCTGCGGGGTGTCGATCTCAGGAGTGGCTCCAAACACGAAGCCAAAATCCACGCGGAAGAGGGAACCATCCTGAGATCTGCCAGAGCTGGGAGTCTTAGCGTTTCAATCTGGGAAGAGTTCGTGGAAGGCCTGCTCATGAAGAAAGTGGTTCCCAGGCGAGGTTGGAAGGATTGTAAGCATCTCTTCATTCGGTTGCTTGAAGGTTGTTGGATTTATGGTTTGTACAAGTTTCACCCAACAGCATCCCGAACATGTTCCCTTGATTTGCTGATCGCTGGCCTCCCGCAGCATGATGTTATCATCGTGACCATCACGAACTCCCAGTGCATAGCAGGCTGTCAAATAAGCTGTGGTTGAAGCCTGGGCACATCGAACCCAAACAAGCAACCATGTCTTATTCAGTTGGTTCTATCCTATTACCTGTAACAGTGGATGATTCAGTAAAGGCCCTGTCCAGAAAATTGTAATACTTGTTTACTGACTGTTGCAGGTAGTAGGACAAACCCCATATATCAGCACGATTGCCCACATCAAAACGTTCTGTGAGTTTGGGAAACCCGTCAAACCCAGCGAAAGGTTCTAGCATGTTCTATATAACTGTCACCTATCAATCTGCCTGTATCACTGAATACAGTTACAGGAAATCCTCTATTTGGGAGGGAAAATAATTCTCAACGGAGGATGGAAGTGCAAAGTCTGCTTCTTAGCAACCCGAAATGACAAGTTCCAATGACTTCCGTAACAACTGAAAAAGACCATCCAGGACAAAGAAGCTTTCTAATTCTTAGTAGGGCGTTAGGGTCATCAAAATCATCAACCAATACCAAAAACGGTTTCAGTCATCCCAGTGGCAGCCAAGGTGTCAAGCTTCTGTGATTCACCACCCAAAGCTTCATAGACACGTTCCTGTGGTTCGCGGCAGAGCTTTTTCAATTCACGTAGCGTTCGGCATCCTGAGCAAAGCGCACGGCAGTTAGAGAAGTAAGCCACAGTTAGTTAGCTTCTTGTTACTACATGTTACCTACTAGTAAGGCACTTGTTACTACTAGCGTGGCACTTGTTACTACTAGTAACAAGAAGCTAGTGGTAAATCCATTTCACACTAAGCTGTCTTTCAACATCTTTCAACTACTATTGCATATCTGCTCATCTTGCTGACCTCAATCACTTCACAAAATGAAGCAAATGAAGCAGAGCAAACTGCAGCTTGGGATCCAAGTACCGCTTCTATGAGGCCTCCAGAAGATCCAATGGGAAAGATCTGGTAGGTCAAAGCATGCACCGGTTGGCCGCAAACTTCTACAGCATGCTGCTGCCACCGGCGGTTCATCTCCTTCAGGGCCATCATCATCGCATGCTCTTGGCGCACATCCGCAAACTTCACAATGAAGTGAAGGCCCCCGGGATACAGCCGGAGAAGATGGGCACCAGATGCAGTTCCTGACAGCAAGCATCCACAGGTTGTCGATCGGATATCAATGGCCTATATTAATATGTTGGAGTCTTCTCAGCAAGAGGTTTGCTCGTCACGTGCTGGTGACATCAGGTGTTGATGCAAAAAACTCAAAACAAATCTGAGAGTTGCTTGAATGTCCTCATTAACTTATGCAACCAGCCAGGCAATCAATGACCCACAAAATCAGCAAAGTGCTGACACTGCCGACTACAGCAAACCTTGTCGGTGGTCAGCCCAGTTTCCAGTTGGGCCCCAAAGGTCCCAATGCAACGACCACAGAATCGGAGCCTGCTTGATGTGAAAAGGGGGTTGCTAGGTCTTTTGGTCTTCCTTCAGTTGGGTCCTGGTGCAAAAAACACACAAAGGAAAAAAACGGAGCTGAAACAAAAGCTACCAGGTCCCTCAACTGAACCGTCACCCTCCTCATCTCATCCGTCCCAGCATCGAAAGTCGCGCTCCACATAGGCTGAGGTGAAGACCTGGCCTGCCACCTTCAGCTCTTCGGGGAAGTGCACCATTTCCTCGAACGGACCAAACCGTCCGAATCTTCGAACGGAGTTCCCACGATGGAAAAACCAGCGTTCCAAAGGGGCGAGGGGCGTCCCACGAGCGCGCCTGTGGTGCTCGTTTATCGTGCTGCAAAGCATACGTCATGAACCCAATTGAGGGTTTGAAATGTTTGAAATGGTGTGAAGTTGTTTGAAGTGTATTGTGATCGATCATGATGTCTCCTGCATGTTTGCGATGTGTTGCATTTTATTGCAATGCTTTTCGGGATTCCTACTTTGTGGGATTCCCCCGTCTGTGACTATCCGTTCCGCCTGCAGCTAGCTACATGGTAGGTGGGATTAGGTAGGTTCACCTGTCAAAGCCGCCAATGTAAAGGAACCGAAGCAAAAGCGAAAGGATTCACACAGTAGTATTATGTAATATTCAAGGCCGCTACGCCGCTGCATGTTGACATCCGTGTAGACTCACAGGATCTAGCACTCTTGAATCTTAAGTAGCATGGCAGGAAGTTCTGAAAGCCTGGATCCCTCACTCGGCTTGACTATTTGAACATATGTGGGTATCGCTCTGCTTGCAAGATCTTGCAAGGATGTATCTATTCCGACCCACCGAAGCCCGAGGACCAGCCCGTCCGCCGCCGACGACCGCCGACGATCGCCACCGGCCCAGTGGCGCCGACGCGGCGACCCCGAAGCAGCGGTAAGATCCACTCGGATGGCCTGTCCTCGCCTCAGAGCAGAAGAGCCCTCTGAAAAACCGGTGAAACGGGTGAAGCCATGTGAAGCCAAGCCAATCCGAATCCCAAACGCAGCCCACTCATCAGGACGGTTGCATGGAGAGAAGCACAGCACAAACTCCAGTTGAAGAAGACTGAGAAGTCTCGCTCTCCAGGCACAGACTTCACTGCCATGTCTGTAGTATGCAGTATGCAGGTGAAATGTGGGGAATGGCATGAAATCACCTGTGTGTGTGTGTGTTGATGTGTTTTACTTCTATCGTTATGTCCATCCATCCAGTACTCTGGAGCGAGGCAACTCCGGTCCAGGACCCAAAGCTGTTGGGGACAAGTCGCCATCAGATTCAGATCTCTGCTCCAGAGGGACGGAGGTCGTGTTCTCCTCCAGCCCTTTGACTTTGGCCTCTGCTTGGGCTGTCTCATCAGCCTTGCACGAGTGAGAGAAATGCTCTGTTTGGGCATTTTTGGGCTAACTGCCATGTGGGCCCATGCTTGTCTCATGCAAGTACTACAGGCCTCTGGCTCGATGCTGACACCATGCATGGAGGCTTCTGATGCCATGTCTGTTTGACCACAAATGGAGGCTTGGACTTGGAGGTGGCTAGTCATGGTAAGGTAGTGCAAGCGTTGAAAACATGTCTGAAGGTGCCTGCCAAAAAGATCCAAAAAGGGGAGGGAAAAAGAACAACTTGATAATGGCCTATACTTAGACATTCACAAGTTGGTTGCCTGGCCTACGGCAAGCTCTAAAAGTGATTAGTTAAAGTCAAAGTGAGTGAAACAATATGATAATATGAGTGCCTTCTTTCGATTGTGTTTCATGAAGCAACTGCATCTGAGTTTCTAGGCTCCGAGATCTATAGAGCTGCAGTGCAGGTCAGAAAGAGAATCTTGGAGTCTAGCTCGGTCGATCACCCAAGCCCACGATGAAACATTTGAGACCGTTCTGGACTCAATCAGCAGCAGCAGCATCTTTCTGATCCCAAAAATTATCCTTTAAATGTTTGTTTTGCATGGTTTTGCTTTTCTTTGACCGCTCAGCAATCTTTTCTCTGACTGGTCTTGCGTCGATCCCCCCCCAAGAGCAACAGTCGAATTCACCCCGCAAAGCAGATCCTGGGGCCAGCACATTGCCCCAGTTGACAACAGTCCACTTTCGGGATTGCTTGTCATGTCCTCTGCCTTCCAAAATCATGTTTATATACGGGCTTTCTTTTGGAGGATTGGCGCATTTTCATGGCTGTCCCTGTGGCCCTGTGGGCTGCTAGGATCTGCAAGCTGTCACGACGATGCTTCAGCCGTCATCATGGCAGTGATCTTCGTCTGACCCTGGGACCTTCATTGGGTCCTAACTTGTTTCTGGTCACTTCTGCGATTCAGCCAGGCTTCCAGTCCATGTCTTGCATCCCCAAGCTCATTGACCCTGCCTCAACTCGCACCCCTAATATATGAATAGGAATTACATCATTTTTGGAAAAGGTATCTTCGATACAATATCGATCTTGTCAGTTCATAATAGTTCTTATCATTTCTTTTCTATGTGTGTGTGGTCGAACCACGCCTAACCACGCCTTACCACGCCCATCCTTTCAATTGCCGCGATTCACTCACCAACCAATTATATGCGTTTATCAATTTCCTACAGTCCTACAGGATCCTACAGGGAGTTTGCGCGCAGGTGCAAGGATACTTCCGCCAATTGTACCTGGCTGTCGCCCCGAGCTTGACACCAGGTGCCTCACGATGAGACCGGCCCCATCTGACCACATATGGATAGTGTGGCAAAGGTCAGCTGTGACAACTCGCTCCTAGTCTCGCACTGATCATGGGTGACCAAAGGTAGACCTGATGATGTTTTACACACAGTACAGCAACTCACTTGCATATACTTGCATATGGTTCCCTCATCTTCCTTCCTTCCTTCCTTCCCTCGCTCTCTCTCTCTCTCTCTCTTCCACAACAGCGCTCCTCCTGAGGGCAGACAAGCGGGGCACCTGCAGGACTCGCTCCGTGTCCGATGGATCAGCCCATATGATTCGATCCACAAGGCTGGCTGACTCCCCAACGAGACTTGCGGCCCTTCCCTTTGAGGTAATTACTGATGTTGCAACCGGGGAGTGTTGCTTCGTACGAGCAAGGGGGGTGTATGAAACGTGCATGCCCTATCGATCAATCTCAATCGATGCACAAGAGACGAGAAAGAAACCCTAATTGACTCCCCAACGATGCCTGCACAACCACGTGCGGTGCCACCAACAAGGCCCTTTAGTTTCTGGTTAAGTGTCCAGCAAGGAAACAAAAGAATGCACAATGGACGACTATATAATGGACTAGAAAAACAAAGTCTCTTACATTCTCTTACCATGCTTTGGGGGTTTGACAAGTTCTGGCCCATCCCGCCCTTTTCATGTTGTAAAATCATGGAACATCCCGTCCGTGCAGGCCTTCATGCTCCACCCTCGCAGCTGACCACAATGGATTGACATAGCCCAGTGGCCTTGGCGGGGGTGAGCTTACAGGTAAGATGGGATTGTACCATCCGCTCGAAATCATGACATCAGAGCCCTCGGCCTAAAATGTTCACAAAACCAAACAAAAACAGTCAATCCTTGGGCTCCAAACCCAGGGCGCGCTGCAAGAGACGTTTCGTTGAAAAGGCCTGTTCCAGCTCGTGCCGCCTGGGCGTTCGCTGCGGAAGACGCAGGTGGCTCTGCGTCCGAAATGATGGCAGGACGGTCCCACAACGGCGTCCCTCAACGTCAATGTTTGTTTTGTTCGGTGCAATGCCACAATAGTGTCTTTTGGGGGGGCCAGAACTCTCACGAAAAAAAAAGAAAAAAGAATATCCTCTCATGCCATGCTCTCCCGGATCAGATCGATCCGAACACCACCCTCCATCAAATCCCTCGCTCCCTCGCTGGGCTCTCCAGGCTGAGAACGCTGACGAGCCGCGGCGCAGCGCCACCTGCAACGCACGTGTGATGATCAGTGGAGTCACGAGTACAAAAAACGCAAGTTCAGTTCGGGTCCTCTTCAGCATGTCTCCATGTTCGAAGAGAAAAGGTACTGGTGACAATGAACATTGTTATGGCATGTTATGGCGCACTTTTGTTGTTGAGCTCTCCCACCAACTTTGCCCCCCGTGCTTCCAAATCAAAAGAGGTACCCGACCGTAGCATCCACTCGGACAAGCAAGACCTTCTCGCAGCTTCTCGCCTAGAGTCGGTGGCGGCTGCACCCCTTGGATCTAGTTACCTGTGGCTATGGTGGCTATGGAGTACCCAAAGCCTCTGGTGGCTATGGCTATGATTGCCGAACACCTGCGTGTGGCTGTATGGGGTCGAACTTGGGACGGGAGCATGAGTCATGTTGCCTGGAGGTCCCGCTTTCGCGTCCCCTCCCGGTGGATCTGGACTTGGGACGGGAGCCAAATCGACTGGGAGTGCCATGCGTGCTGATTTTGGGCTTCAGCATCACAGTAGCCATCTTCATTGTACTAAAGTTATTAACAAAGTGCGATGGCGATACCTTTTTGGGATATATATATATATGTGTGTGTGTGTGTGTGTGTTTGCGCTTCGGACTCAACTCAAATATCAGATCTTGAACTGCTCTCATGGGACTGCAGGAAAAGCTTGCTGCAGGTGAG